ATTATTATTATTATTATTATTATTACTGTTACCATTATCATTATTATTATTGTGATATTGTAATTGCTTTTGTTATTGTTGTTGCCATTGTTATTATTTTTATCATTGTTTGTTGCTATTATCATCATCATCATTAGTACCATCATTATTATTAATATTATTATTATCATCATCATCATCTTTAGTGCCATCATTATCATTAATGATATTGGTAGTATCATTATAATGATATTAATAATTATTATTTTCATTGTTGTTGTTTTATGAATATTATCATTATTAATATTTTTATTGTTGTTATTTTTATTATTGTTTTTGTTATTATTGTAATTATTATTATTATTATTATTATTATTATTATTATTATTATTATTATTATTATTATTGTCATAAAATATTATTGTCATTTTAATTATCATTATTGTCATTGCTATTAATATTATTGTTATTATTATTATTTTTATTATCACCATTACCATTACTTTTGCTATTAATGTTATTGTTGTTATTATTATCATTATTATAATGCTCTTGATAAAAATAATAGTAATAAAAAACTCTCTAAAAATTCAAGGAACAGGGTAAATGGGCCCAAGTGAGCTAGGGGAGGCCAAGTGTGCTGTTTGGTGCAGTGGTAGTGTTCTCGCCTAGCTGTCTTGCTGACTTGTGTTCAAATCCCACATCGCCAGTGCATGGTAACCCCGGCCATTCCTTGCCCACAGAGGGGTAATTTAGAAGCAAACAGGCAGCCTGTCACACCAAATTTAAAGATAACCACTGTAACAAATGGAATTGACTATTTTTTTATCATTACATTGGAGTACCGTCTGGTGACCAAGCACTTGTAAATCCCTTTGGTTGTAAACAAAATTAATCAAATTTAACCACAATTGACAATGCACCCCTAGTAGAAATGGTTTAAGTACTGTAAATAATCAAGGAATTTTTAATAGAATCTAGTATTGGGTGTTTGGGTATTAATAATACAAAACACAGAATATTTTTTTTTGTAACAAATATTCATATTCATTGCAATATTCACTGTGCCTAAACTTCATTGACTGGTTTTTGGAGGAGGTTTACCATAAAGATTTTAGTGAAATTGAAAATGATTCACATTGAAACAAATAATGAGAGTAGTTTAATTTGCCTATGATACCTGAAGTAATTCTTGTGCTCCAAATATTGAATGTGCCTTTAAGTATTTTTCATGAATATATGGTTGTGATAAAATTAATTTGTTAACATCTTGACTGCATCAGGCAATTACTTTGGTTCAAACAACATGTACCTGCAACTCTCCGTAATGCTTATCCAGGCAAAATAGAGTTTACGCTGATTCCTTATTTGTCAGTAAGCTTAAGGTTTGAACAAAGTTCGGTATTACAAACTTAGAAAATGTATGAATAAGAATGAATATCTCCAGAGAACAAGAGATTTATGACACAGGTTTTGAAATGTATATATTTCTGATGGAGATCTAATCAAAACTGTTTAGATACATTTCTTGGACTGAAAAGTTATTCCTTCACATTCACGCCATTTAGTTTAGATTTGTGGACCTTTGTCAAAGCTCTTGCAGGGATAGGTATCATGATGATCGCTTCAGGCAGTGCTTGTGAATCAGTAATTTTTGTATTGGACTGTGGCATCTGGCCAATTTGTCAAAACTGTGCAAGGCCCAACCAAAAGAATATTCATTATACAGATGTGCATATACAAAGAAAGAAATACATATCTATCAGTCTAGACATGTATATCTAAAGGATAGATAGATAAATTTTTATCTATCACATAGATAGACAGATGTATATTAATTTCTCTGCATGTGCATGTCCGTATATATGAATATTCATTGGGTCGGGCCTTGCACAATCTTAACAAACTAACCAATCATCCTTTCCCCTTACAGATTAACTTATATAGTAGTCAGCATCAGTTGGAACTTGTCAGAAGACTGTATTCTTTCTTTTTAGCATAATCATGTTAATGGCTATCAAGAAAAATAAAACAAAGATTATCATTATTTATCTATCACTCTTGTCCTTGAAGATGCTAAAGGCTTTTGTGTTATGAAATTAATTTTTCCTCTTACACATAGAAATATTAAACTGTAGCATTTTTCAGATAAAACAATAGAGTACGAAATTAATTATTTATCAGTTATTATCTTTATATATGAAACCCAGAAAAAAGGTCACATAACCAGAGGAAATAATTTGAATGTTTATATATGATAGAAAAGTTAGATATATTTCTCAAGCCATTTTGGCACACTAGATGAGACTAGGATTTGGGGGTTACCCCTCAAACCATCACAGCCACTGTCCTCCAAATAACATGTCATCATCATATTATGGATAGTTCATCTTGTTCAGCACTGTCATTCTAAGCTGTGAAATGATGCACTAGGATGGCCAGTTCTGTTCCCTGACTTTGTCCCTAGAATGGTGAAGCCAGTAGTCAGTCACAGATGTCACCAGAAAAGGAACTTTCAGTTGCAAAGCCAGTGCTCTACCACTGAGCCTGTACCCGTTCTGTTGCTACTGCAGTGGGGATTCAGTTCTAGGACCATTAGGGTTGGAGTCTAGTGCTTGAACCACATTGCAGCTGTCATATTTGGTATATACTTAATAGTGGCATATGGATAGTGATGTCACCTTATTGTAGTTAATATGGAAGGGTGCTCATCAGCATATGTGTGTTTATTTATCAATTCTTATATTCTTTTCTTTCTTTCTTTGAGGGGCAACCCTTCAGATGGAGGCTGTAAGGTTACCACCTAACAGTTATACTTATGATCAAAAGCAGTCATTAAAATTGTTCATGATGTTATATGAACTTAACTAGTTATATCAAAGGAGTGTTGTAACTCATATAATGCCCATGTCAAACAGCTCACATCTGGTAATTAGAAAATTGCCTTTAGAGAATGGCACAAAACCTTTGTTTTCACTTCTTTGTGAATGCTTGATGATTTATGAAAAAAAATTGGTATGAAGTGTACCTGTAAAAGCTCCTGATACACAATTACTTTTAGGGCACTCCTTTTGAATCTTAAAGCATTTTTCAGGGCACAGGACGTGGTAGCAATTAAAGATTTTTGAAAACCAAATATGATTTTAAAAAATTAAGATTAGGATTTTGGGTTCAATTCATTAATATGGTCTTTCCTGGACAAGAGCCACCACTTTGGCTGATGGAAAATCGTATGGCTCTTGAGCCACTCTATGAATAAACAATAGGAGGATATACAGTGTAAATAAAATTGAAAATATTATTATCATTATTGTTATTAGTAATGTGAATAAGAATATTATGATGTCAGTTAATTGTGTTAGCCTAATAGTGCCTGCATTGCAGAAATAGATGCTTTGCCCACTGTGATTATTCTTGATGTCTTAACACAGAGATGGCTCCGCAAGGGCTTAATCACCAACTCGGAAACTACTTACTCTCCTACTTGTACCTTCTTTCCAATTGCATTTCTAGATAACTCTTAGATATTTATACTGTTTAATTAGTAATGGTGAATAGTAGGACAGTCTATTATATCTCATAACAATCTAATAGATAGATGCATGATAAAAACTACAAAGGACGAATAGAATTTTCCCGAAAATAAATGAATTAATGAAACATGAATAATGTCACGCAGTTCGTCCTTAAAAATTTCTTTGTGAATGTTGTATAATCTAACCCGGTTGGGTCTTGTAAAATTCATATGATACTTGTTTAGAAACATCTCCTATATATATATATTATACAATATGCAAGAGAAGAAAACTATCTACCATTGATGATATGTTAACCTCAATGCTGATCAGATAATAGGTGTTTATACCTTTCTTAAAAATTATTACCTGACATCTTATTCTCTTTGAAATTTTAATGAACATTAGTATCTTATGGTGTTCATGAGTGGTTAGCTGCTTGAAATCCCTTTTTCATTTTTTTTTATTGAATATTGTTCTTTATATTCTATATAACTGTTTCTCTCTAATATTGTATTGTTGTAACCTCTGTAATATGTT